GCTGTTTTCGTCGCGCTGTGATGACATCACGTACGCGCTTTCGTCGAGCACACTTTAGTCTACCGCAGTTTTGTGGTGGAACCCATGCATGCACACCCCACACATGCACCCTGCCCCCCTTGCCCATTTTTTTGCTTCCAGGTTGGTGCAGGAGGCTTTCCAGGCCCAAAACAGGGTGCAAGGGCCACATGCACTCCCTCCGTGTCCCATTTTGGGCCTGGAAGGCCTCCTGAACTAAACTGGAAGCCAAAATGGGGTGAAGGGTGCAAGGCCCCAAAATGCAATGTGAGTGCACCCACACATGCACACGTCCCCTGAATGCGCCCCGCCCCCCACATGCACAGCAGAGACCCGAAGACCAGCTGGCCAGTGGGAAGCACACACACATGCACAGTGGTATTGGGCTGGGCTGATAGCTGGCATATGCACAGAGAGGGTTCTGCATGCAACCTGTGGCACATGTGCCATAGGTTCACCATCACAGATATAGGTTGAAGTGTACAGCCTTGTCACATTCCTTTGCCAACCTGGAGCTACTCTGCTTCCCCATGTTCTGTCCATAATGTGGCTTTCTGACCAGTATATAACTTTCTCATGTGAACAATGGAATGTTCTGAGAGTCCATTTTTCTGCGCAGCTTGATGTGAATTACATTCTTGAAGACCAATCTATAATCAATGAAGCACATGAGTGACTTTTCTTTTAATATTCTTTGCCTTTCTTAATTATTCATTATGCATTAGCAATAAGGGCTCGTGTTCTTTGGCCTTTTAAAAAACTGGCTTCAACAATTAGCATCTCTTTTGCCATGAGTTATTCTTCTGTTGCTTGACATATTTTAGCAATATTCCATCCGTTCCTGTACTTGGTCATGATCAGATTGAGGATCTAACTTCATATTTTAGTTCTTGAGTTTCTTTTAAGTGGCAGCATTTCAATCATTGACCAATAAAAGCACATCCAATAAAACTAACGACACAAAGCTACGGTATTCCCTAAAAAGAAGAACTATTGGCAACCATTTGTGGATGAAGCTTACACATAATGTAGCAAAATTTGCTACTTTTAGAAAAATAATCTTATCTTGATCAATTTAAATTTAAATAAAAGAGGTGTAGTCAGCTGGTGACAAATGACCCTGTAAAATAGAGAAGAACAAGAACTCTGGTTTCTATGGTAGCCATATCACTGGGGAGTGTCAGGTTTCATATGGTTTTTTGTATATTTCCTTTCCAGGACAGCTGTGGGAAATCAATTAAATTAAGCTAAAGATAAGCTCTCCTGAATTTGAGAATTGTGATATAAATATGAGGGTTGTTTCAGCACACAAATTTGGCTATTTGCAATTATATTGTGAGAGAAAGTATTGGTTTCTATATCTAAGAACCTGTGCCTTAGATTTGATCTAGTTTGATCTGACTTTAAGGTGCCAAGTTGCCTGATCTGTACCAATTTCAATATTAAATGAAAGCCAGGTTTTATGAAAAGTTGTTGCTGAATTATTATTATTTTTTCCTCTGAAATCTGCTTTGGGGGTATAAGCATCTTCATTAAAATATTGCAGTCTGTATTCTTTTCTAGTGGCCAAGAGTTGGTTTTGTTAACAATGAGCTGCTGTGAGTAATTATTATGCCTGTAACAGTCACTTAAGTTGCCCTTTGAAGATCCTTAACAGTGCTGACTTCACTGAATTTCAGACTCTGCTATTTTTTAACTCTAAACTGCTCCAAGATTTCTTTTGATAGGAAACAGAATGGAAATACTGTAATCCCCTTCCTCCTTAACTAAACTGTATCCAAACTGTATAATTAGCAGACTTGCTTACCTAATTTGTACACCTCCTTCTATTAGATATCTAGCAAACACTGCATACATTGTGATGTCGTCTTGCTAATGCAAGATAGTATCTAGACAGAAATGTGTCTCTTTCTACACACAAACACACACACACAAAAAAAAAAAATACCCCTAATAAATTATAAAGTGTATTTTTCAATTTTCTTTTCTATTGTCATTCATACTTGATACTCTGTATTTCAAATGCTTTATATTTCTAATGATAGTACTTTTGTTATGACATAGAAACCTTTTGTACTTCTACTAATGATCTTTTCATTTTTATGCTTCTTTAATTCAGGTTCAGATTTGTACAAGTGAATAGAGCAGTAAATGAATATTGAGGGTTTTACATAACCAATTGATTTTACCAGACCTGAACACAACATATTCTCAGTGTTATAGATTAACTCTAGTATTACCAGTTCTGTCCTTTAAATCAGGGACAAGCCACCTTTAGGGTTCCGAGGGACATAGCAAATTTATTTGGATATTTATGTGTGTACCACATAATCACAGAGATAAAGGGATTATGTCTGCCTTCATATACACACTACCCCAAAAAGGCCCCTCCAAGTAACTCATTCATTCATCCATTGATTATAGAACTACCTGGCACAGGTGGAGATAGGAGTGATCAACAGTAGGATCCCCAAATGAGTTCTGAGGACTGTTTTGCCTTCCTCACTTGTCTTTGCCTTTCCTCCTGCCTCTTAAACTCAACTCAGGGACCCACTTTTTGCATTGGATCTAGCTGCATTCTATCACTGTTTGGGCTATTCCCAGTTTACTGCACTTCTTTCTGTCTTATGCTTCATCTCTGCAGTTAAAGACACAA